TTTATTAAATTGCCCTACACCAACCCTAAATGCAACTGACAGCAGTAATTATACCAATATCGTTCATATTATTTATTACATTACCCATTACATTGTATTTTATTACTCAAGATCAACCCAACCATAAACCTACCCTCACAGTAATGTAATATTATTATAGTTGTACAATTAATAGGTAAATTTAATTAACGTCTACCCCTATCCCTATTCTAACCCTAAGCCCAACCAACAGTAATTGTATCATTTATATTATTCATTAAATTACCCATTAAATTGTACTTGATTAAGGCCTACCCCCAACACAACCCTCAACCTATTCCTTGCAGTAATGTAAAAATATTAACTATTGCTGTATAGTGTCACAAAAACAAATGATTAGACTTTACCTCATCAAACTGACGTCACAAAGAAAGACCCCCACTCCAAATGCAGAAGAGAATGGTCAGACTTTAATAAAAAATTACCAAAACAAATGTTTTTTTTTTTTTCAGATTACATTTTTTTAATTAAATTTTCACATGAAGAATAGCTATGCCAGGGGTGCTCAATCCTGTTCCTGGAGAGCTCCCTTCCTGCAGATTTCAGTTGCTACCCATATCAAACAAACCTGGCTGTAATTATCAAGTGGTGTTCAGGTCCTAATTAATTGGTTCAGGTGTGTTTGATATGGGTAGCAACTGAAATCTGCAGGTAGGTGGCTCTCCAAGAAAAGGATTGAGCACCCCTGAGCTATGCGCTCTAGATTTAAGGTCTTGCATCACTTTAACAGAAGAGGGTAAAATTAAATTATTTAAATGAATCAGGTTACAAAGTGTATGTTTTTGTTGCAACCGGGCTCATTATTGATATGTACCCCTGTATACATTCCTGAAGATCTCAAAATACGTCCCAGGAGCTACTTTTTTAGATCTCAATTTTCTCTCACGAGTGCCATTCGCACCTGCTGTTCTTGCGTAAATCTACCAGGGGCGTCGCGGTCAACTCTTCTCTGCATCTCAAGTCCACTGGCGTATGTGGCGAGCTACTAGGCAAACTGGTAACATTGGTAAAGCCGTCCACGAGGAGGTAAGTGGTCAGCTGGTGCAGCGCAAAAAAGAAACAGAAGCCATTTGCGGCATCATACCCCCATGTAGCGTTTAACTTTAAAGACGAAATGCAGCCACACATACCTCTGGCTACATAATTTGCTCTCTCAAGAATTGTATTTGGGGGTCCTTTTTCACAATGAGCCTGTGTTGTTTTTATATATATATATATATACTGTATAACCAAGCATGTTCTGCAGTAATCAAATGACATATCAGATTTCTTGTACCGCAATAAAAATGAAATCTGTGTCTTGCCGGTGGCTATGAAAGGATTAATGTTGTCTGTAAACAGAGACTATCTTCGCCTGAAGGGAAATACTGTCAAACTTATGCTGTGCTTGCACCGAGCTGTCGGCCTGATGTGTTTGATTGACGTCTCGATGTGCTGCTCTTTCCAGCCTTATCTGCTACTTTTCAGAGTTCAGCCTTGCCGAGTTAAGCATTCTGACACACAATCAAAAACGCCTGACATGCAGCTTAGTCAGACTACTGTAAACCAAGCTGTACTTGTGAATCAACGTGTGAGAGGAAAATTAATTCTTACACAACACATTCCACGCTCAGACTCAATCTCAGAAAGAAACACAAACTGACCAAACGCAACTGCACACATAGTATGTTTGGTCACATTTTACCGCAGAGTTTCATTGGGTAATGTAATTACTAACATAAACTGATAATGAACAATACATGTAAAGCATTTATTCATCATAGTTCAACATTTACTGATACGTGATTCAAATTAATTCTGGTTACCATTAGGTATTGCACACTGAGCAGGTATAAACTAACAATAAATGACTTTTATATAAAAAGATGAATAAATACTGTAACAAATGTCCATGTTAGTAAATATATAAACCAATAATTAACCTTTTTGTAAAGTGTTACAGTATATTATATGTAATATTAAAATAAAATAAATATATTGCAAACAACAACAACAATTATTAACCACCATTACCTTTTTCGAAAACTAAAATTAAAACTACACTTTTAATTTACACCCATTTCTGCTAATTGCCAATAATGGGAAACTCTCTCATTATTATGCAGGTCATATTCCACATATTATATTATATTATATTATATTATATTATATTATATTATATTATATTATATTATATTATATTATATTATATTTATTATATTATATTATATTATATTATATTATATTATATTATATTATATTATATTGTATTATATTTTATAATATTATTCATTTTTTCCGGCTTAGTCAGGGGTCGCCACAGCGGAATGAACCGCCAACTTCCAGCATTTGTTTTACGCAGCTGATGCCCTTCTAGCTGAGCCCCATCACTGGAAAACATCCATACACACTCATTCACACACATACACTACGGACAATTTAGCCTACCCAGTTCACCTGTACCGCATGTCTGTGGACTGTGGGGAAAACCCAAGCACCTGGAGTAAACCCACGCAAATCAATTAAGCTTAATTTTAACTTTAAAATGTTTTTAAAATAATTTAAAAAACTGCTTTATTTCTAGCCGAAATAAAACAATAAGGCCTTTCTCCAGAAGAAAAAAATATTATTGGAAATACTGTGAAAATTTCCTTGCTCTGTAAACGGAAAAAGGAAAAAACATTTCAAATGGGGGTTTTATAAATCTGACTTCAACTGTATATAATATTATATTCTATATACTGTATACAGTTGAAATCATAAGTATTATTATTTGATTTATTTTTCTATTTTAAATCCCAAATAATGTCTAGCAGAGTGAGGAATTTTTTTTACAGTATTTCCGATTAGATTTTTTCTTCTGGAAAAAGTCTTATTTGTTTTATTTCAGCTAGAATGAAAGCATTTTTTAATTTTTAAAAGCCATTTTAAGGTCAAAATTATTAGCCCCCTTAAACTATATATTTTTTTGATTGTCGGCAGAACAAACCATCATGATACAATGATTTACCTAATAATCCTAACTTGCCTAGTTAACTTAATTAACCAAGTGAGGCCTTTAAATGCCCTTTAGGCTAAATATTAGTATCTTATAATATTAGTGTCTTGTCATCATGGCAAAGATCAAATAAATCAGTTATTAGAGATGAGTTATTAAAACTATGTTATGTTTAGAAATTTGTTGAAAAATTGGAGAAATAAATAAACAGGGGGGCTAATAATTCTGACTTCAATTGTATTACACTCTCAGAAATAAAGGTACACGAACAGTCACTGGGATAGTACCTCTTCAAAAGGTACAAATTTGTACCTACAAGGTCCTTATCATTACCTTGAAGGTGCATATTAGTACCTAAAAAGTACAAAAGTGTTCCTCTTAAAATTTTTAGATACTAATATATAATTTTGAGGTACTAATGTAGACCATTTAAGTACAAATATGTACCTTTTGAAAAGGTTCCCCCCGTGACAGTTTGTGTATCTTTACTTCTGAGTGTGTATTAATATATATTACATTATAATAAATATAATGGGGGTGACGCAGTGGCGCAGTAGGTAGTGCTGACACCTCACAGCAAGAAGGTCACTAGTTCGAGCCTCGGCTGGGTCAGTTGGCAATTTTGTGTGGAGTTTGCATGTTCTCCCTGCGTTCGCGTGGGTTTCCCCCACAGTCCAAAGACATGTGGTACAGGTAAATTGGGTAGGCTAAATTGTCTGAAGTGGTTGAGTGTGTAAGGAGATGGGTTGCAGCTGGAAGGGCATCCGCTGTGTAAAACATGCTGGATAACTTGGCGGTTCATTCCGCTGTGGCGACCCCGTATTAATAAAGGGACTAAGCCGAAAAGAAAATGAATGAATGAATGAAAAAATATTATAGAAAGCAAAAAAATTACTTTCTTAAACATCAACTTATTGTTTCAACACCAATTTTCTGTCTTTTTATTAAATTAATAAGCAGGCTGATTTTATTTTGAAAAGCAAAGCTTCAATTTATGATTTCCAGGCGGTGAATGACTTTTTAGAATTAGTAGCTTCTAATTCAATTTTGAGGGGCAGCACGGTGGCACAGTCGGTAGCATAATCACCTCACAGATAAAAGGTTGCTGGTTTGAGCCCCGGCATAGGTGAATTGGGTAAGCTAAATTGTCCATAGTCTGTATGTGTGAATAAGAGAGAGTATGGATGTTTCCCAGTCATGGGTTGCAGCTGGAAGGGCATCCGCTGCGTAAAGCCCATGCTGGATAAGTTGACAGTTCATTCCGCTGTGGTGATCCCAGATTAAGAAAGGGACTAAGCCAGTGCAGTGGCGCAGTAGGTAGTGCTGTCGCCTCACAGAAGGTCGCTGGGTCGAACCTCGGCTCAGTTGGCGTTTCTGTGTGGAGTTTGCATGTTCTCCCTGCCTTCGCGTGGGTGTCCCCCACAGTCCAAAGACATGTGATACAGGCGAATTGGGTAGGCCGTAGTGTATGAGTGTGTGTGTGAATGTGTGTGTGGATTTTTCCCAGAGATGGGTTGCGGCTGGAAGGGCATCCGCAGCATAAAAACTTGCTGGCTAAGTTGGTGGTTCATTCCGCTGTGGCGACCCCAGATTAATAAAGGGACTAGGCCGACAAGAAAATGAATGAATGACACACACATTGTTTGCTGTATGGAATGCCAAAACGTTGAAGCTCAATATCTCAAAATCATTCAGAACGCAGATAGAACCTTATACTTATGTGTGCGTGATAGATACACACACACACACACACACACACATATTAATGCTCAACTTAAATGACTTCTGCTGTGCACAAACATATTTCTTCCCCCTTTTTTTTGGTAAGGTGAAATATGACCAATACATTACTGGAGTTTCTAGGACACTCAGCCAATATTAAAAATCATATCCCATGCAGCTGTGCAAGAACCCACATCAATTTGAACACCTCCAGATCTTCCAGATAGCCTTTAAATTTCCTCAAGAGAAAGTTGCGCCTCACCTTCATGATGTTCTCCTGAGTGGCAGGAGCTGGCATAACAGCTTTTTAAGTTCCTTCAGACTTGAGGAAACGTGCCATACGAGACGCTAGTGCATTTCATCATCATCATCATCACCGTCGTCTCCCTGGTAACGTGTCCCGCTCAGCCTCTCTCGCACGCTCATCACTATAACGGATCTTCAGGTCTCCAGAAAGACAGACGCTGTGCTTTTTTGTTTTAACGCCCTGAGCTCATGCATGCTTCCACTGCCTGTGTGCTTTTCCTCCATAGTGATGGAGACGGAGAAAGAAAGAGAGGAGGAGAGAGAGAGAGAAACCACAGTCCACTCCCTCTCTGGAAACATCCAATGCTGGGCTAACAGTGTACGATCCCTCCTCCCTTCAGCTGCTTTCTCACCTGCCCTGTGAAGCAAAACTGAGTGCAAATGGATTTGGCTCGAGCAGAAGAAAAGACAAGAGGACAAATAAAAAAGACATGTTATAAAACGCAACCTCCTGACTCTGAGGATCTCTAAGGCATTGTCTCTTTTCCCATCCAGCCCGGTAGATGGAAGTTCAGCGCGAGCATAAATGATCTTGACATATTCACACTATAAATAATTCAGCATCTTTACAACCGACTGGCCGGCCCGTGAACTAATCTGTCTAAGTTGTTTATTAGAGTCACCGCTATGCAGCACAGGCAATCTCACCATCTCAAGCACCATGCTATAAGAGGAAGAAACATCCCAGAAGAGACTGCTTTAATGTCTGGCTTCCCTCAGACAGCAAATTACATTAAACACTAAGCTACTTGAGAGTTAGATGGGTTTTCATGAGGAAAAGGGTGTTAAGTTTCCAAAAGTTTTTTAAGATTGGAGATTTTAATATGGGTGACGCAGTGGCGCAGTAGGTAGTGCTGTCACCTAACAGAAAGAAAGTCGCTGGTTCAAGCCTCGTCTGGGTCAGTTGGCATTTCTGTGTGAAGTTTGCATGTTCTCCGGGTGCTCCGGTTTCCTCCACAGTCCAAAGATGAAGTGAATTGGGTAGGCTAAATTGTCCGTAGTGTATGAGTGTGAATGAGTGTGTATGGATGTTTCCCAGAGGTGGGTTGCGGCTGGAAGGGCATCCGCTTCGTAAAAATGTGGTAGATAAGTTGGCGGTTCATTCTGCTGTGGCGATTCCGGATTAATAAAGGGACTAAGCTGCAAAGAAAATGAATGAATAAGATTTTAATATGAGGGGAGACATGGTGGCTTAGTGGTTAACATTAGCAAGAAGGTTTCCCCCACAGTCCAAACGCATGCAGTACAGGTGAATTGAATTAAATAAATTGGCTGTAGTGTATGTGTGTGAATCCAAGAGTGTATGGGTGTTTTCCAGTGCTGGTTTGTGGCTGGAAGGGCATCCACAGTGTAAACCATATGCTGGATAAGTTGACGGTTCATTTCACTGTGGCGACCCCTGATTAATAACGGGACTAAGCCAAAAAGAAAATGAATGAATGAATGTATGAGTGTGCATCTGAGAGTGTATGGGTGTTTCCTGGCACTGGGTTGCAGCTGGAAGGGCATTTGCTGTGTAAAACATATGCTGGATAAGTTGGTGGTTCATTCCGCTGTGGCGACCCTTGGTAAATAAAGGGACTAAGCCGAAGGAATATATATGATTTTATTTCAGTTTTAGTCTTAGTGTTTTTTTGTAATACTTTCGTATTACAAAAAAGATGTAAAATATATCATAGATAGATAGATAGATAGATAGATAGATAGATAGATAGATAGATAGATAGATAGATAGATAGATAGATAGATAGATAGATAGATAGATAGATAGATAGATAGATAGATAGATAGATAGATAGATAGATAGATCACCCGCTTCGATTGTTGTAACTCGATTGAATGGGAATTATCAGTGGTTATCAGCTGGGAGATTTGGGCCAGTAGGGACCTTCTGTGCCTACTAGTAGGCTCAGAAGGCTGTTATTATTCATCTACATGGTTAATCAGCTATACTAATAGAGAAGACTCCAGATCCAGATCTGTTTTTACATTACTATGACGACTGGATTTAGCGTTGGGGTAAAGATAGATGTTAATAAAATAAAATTATTGGGAAATTTTATAATATAGCTGATTAACCATAATGAAGGTGCAGAAGGCCCTTACTAACCCATATCTTTCTGGCTGATAACCACTGAGAACGTCCATTCAATCAAGTCATAACAATCAAATCGGCTAGACAGATAGACAGACAGACAGACAGACAGACAGACAGACAGACAGACAGACAGGCAGACAGACAGACAGACAGACAGACAGACAGACAGACAGACAGACAGACAGACAGACAGATAGATAGATAGATAGATAGATAGATAGATAGATGATAGATAGATAGATAGATAAATAGATAGATTGAATTAATAAAGGTTTTCTGAGGAATCCCTCAGCAGTTGTTCTTGGCACATTAAAGCATCAGAATGGAGCATCTGCTGCTTGCAGCGGGAGACTGCTGCTGAATCTCACCTCACTTATGCTCCGTTAATTACTGCCTATACTCACGAGATACAGACGACCTCCTTAGCTGGGATTTGTATCATTGCTCAACGAGAAAAGTCAGTGCGCACACTTCACAGCCCTGTGATTATGGGATAGAGTGTGTGGAGTAAGCATATTTAAATGCAACTCTTTCTCTTGTCAAGCACATCAGAGTCAGCACAAGCTGTCTGATGAAGCTAGATCAAGTCCACTTGATCGCAGTTACGATAGAGAGCTGTCTGGATGTTAGACAGCAGATATATGCGCTTGTGTTTTGGGACATCCATTGCATAACTTTTCAGAGAAGGAAAAGGAGAGCGAAACGAAGCGGGAATGACCCTCTCGATATAACCATGAGTTCCAAATAGAGGTCACTGTCAGCATGACGTCCATTAGTTACAGCTGAGCCCCTCACCTCAAAACACCAAGCACTCCATCACTGCACAGCAACTGCCCTTTGTAGATGTACAGTAAAGGGGTACAGTGTTGGTTAGGTTTTTAAAAAGTGAGATTTAATATTTTAAAAAGTTTGGATGAGGGGTTAATTATAATAGTATTATGCTTTTTAAAATACTATCTTTTTTACTTTAATCAAAGCACTTTGTCTTATTCCAGCGTTGGGTCAAAGGTCTAGGATGTTAATGGATATTTATAATGCTACAAAATAGTGACAAAATTTGCATTTAGAAGATATAGACATAATATAAGCATCCAAAGCTTGCAGTTTGTCACTTCTGCATTAATGGATCAACAATGTTTTCACATCACCTCATTTTTCAATATCTCATCAAATCTTGACCAATCAAATGCTCTCTAGTATCTGACATAACCCGGTAGCCCCGCCCCCTTCAAGACGCTTTTTATTTGCTATTTATTTGATGTGCTTGACCTCAACCACTCTCACTTGCAGAGCTGTGATGAAACTAAATGCTATTAGCTTTTTAGAAAAGGGGGAGGAGCTACTATATATCACATGTCCCCCAAATTTACATTATAAAACGAAAATACTGACTGAATCATTTTATCCTTTTGAAAAAAACAGCAGGGCTGTTTATTTGTAATCATACATTTGTTTATTTATTTATTTATTTTTTTAGGCTACCTCAAGTCAATTGCTCTGTGAAAAATTTGGTGGTTAAATTTGATCAATGCTTCACTGTAATTCTAATATCACAAACCTCTTTCAACATTTGAGCATCTGATTTTACTTAAGCATTTGTGTGATTTAATTTTCTCTGTCTCAGGTTAGGGAGTTTTTGTTGAACTGTCCACAATAGCACAGGAATATCAGTATGCCAAATCAATAAACTTTGCTGAAAGGCTGGTTATATTTTACTGGCAGCCAGGTATAATAATGGTATTAGAGATTTTAAAGGAAATTAATATTAAGTAGGAAATATAGCCTAAACTTAACAACAACAGATCCAAATCTCGTAAGGTATAGAATGTCCTTAAATAGTGTAGCCTGCCTAGTTGACGGCAAAGTATATTGTTTAGACCTACTGATGGTAAATGCTAGGCTATATTTTGTATAGACTTGGGGTAATGGACTTTAGAATAAACTTTAACTTGGTTCTGGTCCAAAGACATGTACTATATGTGAATTGGCTAAACAAAATTAGCGGCCATAGCGTGTATGAATATGTGCGTATGGGTGTACATGAGCTGGAATAGTTGGTGGTGCATTCCGTTGTGGCAACCTCTGTTAAATCAGAGACTAAGCTGAAGGAAAATTAATGAATGGATTATTTTCAAATACCAAAGCATTGCTTTGCTTCACTGCCTTTTAAAGCTTGGAATCGCCCGAACATTTTTTATATCCAATTGTATTTCTCGGGATATTTACAAAATGATGTTTAACAGAGCAAGGACTTTTTCACAGTGTTTCCTATAATATTTTTTTTCTGGAAAAAGTCATATTTGTTTTATTTATTAATTTTAATTTTTTTTTTATTTAAAAAAAATCATTTTAAGTTTATTTAACTGAATGTATTTTAAATACATTACAACACCGATGCTGAAAAAGCAACAGTAAAAAATGGAAAAGTCATATTAGCCATTCAGCGGATGTGAATCAGTGTGGGAAGAAACACTAGCTCCCATATAATACCCTATTGGATGAATGAAAGCTTTTTTCCAGTGTAGTATCTTAAAATATGTCTAGTAAAATATTACATAATCTAATCATGGCATGGAAATGAGTTATTAAAACTATTATGTTTAGAAATGTGTTGAAAAAATCTTCTCACTATTATACAGAAATTGGTAAAGAAAATATACAGGAGGGCTAATAATTCAGGAGGGCAAATAATTCTATGCTACAGTTGTTCCTACAAGTTTTGTATTGACTAAATACTTAGAGGAAAATATTATAGCAATAAGAGAGAGTGAATTAAAAGGTGGGGAGCAAGAGGCCGATGGCTCAGACTTTACTAGGTGAGTCATTTCTCCAGGGAGACGTACAGCAGACAGAGTGTAATATATAAAAGAAATGAGGGAAGCAAACCTGACTGTGTCCTTCTCTGACAGAGGACCCTTACGGCCAGGAGGAAAACTTATTTCGGGCCTTGACGTTGTACATGATGAAATACAACGAAAACAATCTGCTGTTTCTCTGATGGAGCCTATAGCGAAAAAGACTAACACAGGACTGAACCGCCGGTCACTCGCTTCCACCGTTCCCTGATGTGTCTGCTTGATCAATATTTTAGCTATTGATGTCAAAAAATGCTATTAAAGTGAATTAAATGCTGTTTGTTTTCTTGTATGCTTTACTTTAGTTTGTCGGCCTGTTCAAGGTAGTGTATTTTCAAGGTCGTACAATTCAGTGAGTTTTGTGTTGTCTTTCTGTATCCAGTTCTTGGCTTTTAAAATGCAGCTAGTGAGGGATTTGTGGTTTGGCGAGATGCGCTGCATGTAGTACCAGCTGTGTCTGCTTTGAATTCAAGACATGATTGTGTATAGCTTTTTCACATGGAG